TTGCAGGTGTTTAGAGTTACGTCGGTGATTCAGATGGTTAGGTTAATAGCTTGTTTAGAGAACCTTTTCATGATATGCTAATTTTTTGGGACAGGCATTTTGGGTTTTCATGAGCTGTATGCCATAATCAATAGTATTAAAACAATTAAAGACCTGAAATATTTCAGTTGGTATGCAATGAATCTGAAATATATGAAAGTTTCATTTTTATAATTACATTATGGAAAATAATGACCTTTATCAAATATGCTAATTTTTTTAGAAGGACCTGTACTGTAGTTCCTGTCACGTCGTCAGTGCAGCTACAGCATGCACTCTCAGGACATCATTACCTGCAGCGTCCTCTCAGTGCAGACTAAATTTGGCAAAAGAGCCTTCTCTTACTCCGCTTCAGTAACCTGCAACACCTTGCAAAAAGATCTGAAGTTGTCAACTTTGACCTTCCTAAAGGGATTTTAAACAGCTGTTAAGCTCAATGCAAAAACGCAGACATGTTCATGTTTTAAGTATTTTATCTTGTTTCATAATGTACAGTCCCCTCCAAATGTTTTGGAACAGCAAGGCAAATTCCTTTGTTTTTGTTGTACAGTTAAGACATTTGGGTTTAGATCAAAATATGAGCATGAGAAATGAGTTCAGAATGTCAGCTTTTATTTCCTGGTATTTATATTGAGATGTGTTAAACAACTCAGGACATACCACCCTTTGTTTGAACCCACCCATTTTTCCACGTGTGCAAATATATTGGAACATGTACAGTAACTGACAGGTGTTTCTTGTTGACCAGGTGTTGCATTTAGCGTTGATTATTCAAACATTAAATAGCTCTGCGTGACTAGTCTAATTTTTGGCCTGTGTTTAAATCTATGAAGTAGGTATTTCTTGTTAAAGAGGATACACCAACATGAAGACAAGAGAGGTATATATGGGAGAAAAGCAAGCCATCCTGAAGCTGAGAAAATAATCAATCAGAGCCATTGGACAAACATTGGGCATAGCGAACACAACAATTTGGAATGTCCTGATAAGAAAGAAACAGGTGTACTGAACAACAGACGTCGAACAGGTCGGCCAAGGAAAACAACAGTAGTTGATGACAGAAATATTGTGAGAGCTGTGAAGAAAAACCCTAAAACATCAGTAAGTGACATCACCAACGAGCTCCACAGTGCAGGAGTGAAGGCATCACAATTCACTGTTCGAAGAAGACTGAGAGCGGAAAAATAGAGACCATAGCCAAAGATGCAAACCACTCATCAGTAGTAAGAATCGGAAGGCCAGATTGCAATTTGCAAAGAAGAACAGAGATGAGCTGCAAAAGTTTTGGAACACAATCTTATGGACTGATGAGACCAAAATCAATCTACCAAAGTGATGGAAAGGCCAAAGTGTGGAGAAATGAACTGCTTATGATCCAAAGCTACATGCTCATCTATGAAGCATGGTGGAGGTAATGTCATGGCTTGGGCATGCATGGCTGCTTCTGGAACAGTCTCATTCATATTTATTGATGATGTAACTGATGATGGTAGCAGCAGAATGAATTCTGAAGTGTACAGAAACATTTTGTCTGCCAATTTACAGAGAAATGCATCCAAACTAATGGGGAGGAATTTTATCATGCAGCAGAACAATGACCCAAAGCACACTGTGCCAACAAAACAAGACTCCCATCAGTGGGAAAAAGTGGAATGTTTTAGACTGGCCAAGTCAATCACCTGACCTTAACCCAATAGAGAATGAATGTCACCTCCTGAAGAGGAGACTGAAGGGAGAACCCCGCCCCCCGAAACAAACAAGAACTGAAAGAAGCTGCGGTAAAAGCCTGGAATAGCATCACAAATGAAGAATGCAACAGTTTGGTGATGTCGATGGGTCGCAGGCTTGAGGCAGTCACAAGGGTTATGCCACCAAAGATTACACATTATTCACTTTAACATTATTTATTCCTTTACTTTTTCTTACCCAAGAATGCTGTGGTGTAATACAAAGTGTGGTATGTCCTGAGTTGTTTAACATGGCTAACTGAACAAGAAAAACAAAAGAATTTGTCTTGCTGTTCCAATACTTTTGGAGGGGGCTGTAGTTCGTTTTCTTCCCATTTTATATGAATTTTACAGCTGTTTGTACCTTATCTGTGGTTTTGTCTAAAGCAGGTCTCTCTTGAAAATGAGTCTTTGTGACTCAATAAGACTAACCTGTATAAATAAATGCTGAATGAATGGGGGGGGGGGGGGGTACACAGCCTACACTGTCCATTTTGAACAGATTTGCATGAAAGAATCCCCTGTTGTCCTCGTCCAAGTGAATTCAACTAAACAAAACCAGGAGAAGAAAAAAAACAACACAGGTTGTCCTTGTCATTATTTGATCCGTCAGGGTCACATCTCTCTTTCCTGCACGTCTCTGCTGTAGTTCAGCTACTCCAGCAGAAGGTGGTGCTGTAAGACCTAAAGCTCCCTCTTTGCCTTTTCCTCCTAACATAACAAGGCTGTCACCTATTCCATCCTCCTTTGTCCTCTCCCCTCCATCACTCACCTCCATACGTCAACGACAAACTACTGCAGCATCCTCCTTCAGCTAAGCAGCGACCAATCCTGGACAAAGGTGAACAGGCCTATTGCAATACAGCTACGTAGAATAAAAAGGACTAAATCTTATTTTTTTTTTACCCTTAGGCACCTCCCTTTATAATCCACAAGGGGAGAAAACAGGTTTTGAAAGGATTTAAAAGGCTAAAATCCGTATGAATACTAATGTGAACTTGCAGAATGAAGACGTTGGCGAGTCAAAAGTTGGATTACAGATCTCCTACAAGGTCATTTGTATTAATTTGGTTCTTGGTGAGGACACAGCCCACACCTCGGTACGATTCCAGTGGGTAAATATTTGTCTATACCAACCCTCGCTAGGCGCTATAATGACCGCGTGTTGCAGTGCGTATGTACAGTTTGTTTCTGTGGACACATCACTCAGTGGCAACTTCCGCCTGTGTGTGTGTGTCTGTACAGCAGCAGCTCAATCACCCCACCACCACTCCAAAACATTTTCTCCACAGCCGCAGCTCAGCAGAATTTGATCAATAACGTGTCCTTCATTCTCAAATAAGGCCTGACCTTGGCAGCCTTTTGTCTCCTTCCAGGGGCAAGAGTGCGCATGTACAGGTTGGAAAACAAGGCTCTTAAAACCAGAGGAGAAAAAAAAGTCCTCCCTTAGAAGAAAATAAAGATTACCCTTACTGCCTACACAATACAGCCTTCTCGTTTTGAACCTAATGAATCATAGATTTATACGTTTCTTATCTCAGTGTAATGAGGTGATGCTGCTTTTGAACTCATTTGCTGAAGGCCACCCAGTTGAAATGGAATAACCCTCCAGATTGTTGCATATGTTGCTGAATTGATTTTCACACAAAAAAACGAGTTTACAGGCAAACTTGATGGAGCTAAGGAAAAAAAAAAAACATGTATGTAGTCAAAGCCAGTGATGTTTAGATTCTATGTGAAAGAAGTGAAAGACAGGAGGCTGCAGAGGGCAGTGGGAGTTGATGTGATTCACATTAAAGCCGTCTGCAGGGGGCACCATTTACAGATTAGTCCTGCGGTCTTTGTTACCAACACACATCATTGTCCACAAGGTATACCCTGTACCTTTCCTATCAGAGGTATTGAATCAGTCAGTAATGGGGCATTAAAAAGAGAAACACGCTTTCTCTGCATGCTCCATCATGCTCTGCATTATTCAGATAACATGACTGCAGCACTCCGTCATTATCTCATGATCAAGCAGTATTTTAAGTCCCATCATTAATGTGTTTGACAACCTGAAAGCCAGAGATAAAAGCTCAGACAGCATCAAAGAGGAGTTTTGGTTGAGAAATTTTGTTGTTGTTTTTTACTCGTACGGAGTTTTAAATAAAGATGAGAACGTTTGAACACAAGCCATTCAGTTTCTGCATACCAGGTCCATCAAGATTATTAACAGAATTAGCACATTTTTACAAATTACATTATTATGTTCTGATCCTTTTGAAGCCCGGTGGAAAAATAAAGGGCTAAATTTAGGTACCGCAATTTTGCTTGCGTCGAAAATAAAACAAGTGAGGTATTTAGCTCAAGAAATGAGATGTCCAACTACCAACCACTTACAGACTAGGCCTGTCATAACAAATGGTGCTGGGCGATTAATTGTCTCAGAAATTATTGCGATAAACGATAATATTGTTTGAAATTTGACAATAATTAATAATTACTATCAAATTTAAGCCGAAATGTTGGTTAATTTGTTTTGAGTGTAGTATATTTTTTTTAACACTGGATGGCAGTATAAGACTGTTTGAACCTATGATGGATGGTGAGGGAGCGAGCAGCGTGTCTCTAAGAAAAATGGGAGGGAGACCTCTTGACATGACATGGGCTGTCTCTCCTTCCTTTATTCAGTTCTCAAAATGGCGGACGCTCTGTGTGGTTTGAGCTCTTTAGCATAGCATTTTTTACACAGATTTTTTTAATAAAAAAATCAGTAAACAAGTTCTCAGCTTCTTTCTGCAGAGGAAAACAACTTTTTACATGAAGGCACGGGTTTCAACCGTGAATTTTGGAGCTTCGACAAGACGGAGGTCGATCATTTTCATTTATCATGTGATTAATTGATTTCTTGTGACAGGCCTATTCCAGACACAAGCCCAACAGTAACAAGAATTCTGACTATTTAAATTACAAATCTGCTACCATAACTTTTTTAATCTTACAGTTTAGATCATTTGAAGTTAAATTTGTTGTGCTAAATTATCTGCTTAAAGAACAACTTGGACTTGATGCATTTAACACAACAGATTTTTATTTTTAAAGTCAAAGCAACAGTGTTCACCAACAAAAAAAATTACATACATGTAAATAAAATTTACAATTTGCTCCAAGCATTGAGGCTTTACAGAACCAAAAACATTAAACAGCTGTTGTCTGAAACATATAAAAACCAAAAAGGAAAACACATTTTCACTACCCCTTCCTCTTCTGGGTGCTGATGTACAGAACTGTAAGAGACAGAAAGCAAAAAAAAAAAAAAACATTAAATAATAAATAAATAAAATGAAGAAAGGCAATTTGTGAAAACCCAAAGTAATGAGCCCCCAAGATGTTACTTTATATGAAAAACATTTTTATTGCTTCTTATTTTGCTTTTAAAAAATGAGCACACTTCATTTACTGCAGATTTCTCATGATGGCCAACTTTGAAGTCTGAGAAAAACTGTTGGATTTTTCAATAAAGTTTAATTTTGACATGAAAGAGCAACAGAGAATGTTAAACCTGATCAATTTAACTCTTTCTGATGAACTTGACACCAAGAAAAAATGTTGAGTCTCTGACTTTCGTACTGTATCAACTGACACTGGCCGTGACTTGAAACAAGTTTTTAAGTTTGGCACATTTAAAATAAGTTTTATGTTTACGTAATCAACCGGACACTTTCGGAACTAATTTTTTTATCACATTTTCACACAAGTCCTAAAAGTAGATAGAGAACCCAGTCAAACAAAATATCCAAAATTGTATATTTGGTTGTTTATTTATTAAGGAAAATTATCCAAAATTACATATATGTGAGTGGCAAAAGTATGTACTACTAGTAGTACTATTCATTAGTCAAGCTATAGTACTGGACAGAAACCTGGGATTATTTTTGTCCTCATCTACAAACCGGATTCCAAAAAAGTTGGGACACTAAACAAATTGTGAATAAAAACTGAATGCAATGATGTGGAGGTGCCAACATCTAATATTTTATTCAGAATAGAACACAAATCACAGATCAAAAGTTTAAACAGAGAGAATGTATCATTTTAAGGGAAAAATCTGTTGTTTCCAAATTTCATGGCGTCAACAAATCCCCAAAAAGTTGGGACAAGTCCATTTTTACCACTGTGTGGCATCCCCCCTTCTTCTTACAACACTCAACAGACGTCTGGGGACAGAGGAGACCAGTTTCTCAAGTTTAGAAATAGGAATGCTCTCCCATTCATGTCTAATACAGGTCTCTGACTGTTCAATCGGCTTCAACCTTCTTTGTCGCACCTTCCTCTTTATGATGCGCCAAATGTTTTGTCAATTGACCTAATTAGTGTTAATTGATCTTCCAGCTGTTTGTTATATGCTCAATTTCCTTTTTCCAGCCACTTATTGCTACTTGTCCCAACTTTTTTGGGATTTGTTGACACTGAAATTTTAAATCAACACATTTTTCCTTTAAAATGTTACATTTACTCAGATTAAACTTTTGATCTGTCATCTGTGTTATATTACGAATAAAATATTGACATTTTCCATCTCCACATCATTGCATTCAGTTTTTATTCACAATTTGTTTAGTGTCCCAACTTTTTTGGAATCCGGTTTGTACTAAAGACGATTAATATAAAGTTCTAGCTTTACAGAGAGCTTTTTTATTTGATAGCAGGCTATCTCTCCAAGATAAATAAAACTCTTCCAAATTAGTAGAGCGCCATTTTCTTTCCAGCTTTCTAGATGCCGGTCTTAAAGTATGTAACTCAGAACTGAACCAAGGAACCAGTTTCCTCTGATTGATTACTTTCTTTAACATTGGAGCAATTTTTTCAAAGTTTGCAATGAAGTTGTAAAATTATCAACAAGCTAATTTAGTCACTGTTCTCTGGTGCATTACTCTGCAAGACTGAGGGAAACAACAATGGAAGAGATTATTTAAGTTTAGTTACAACATTTTCTGATTCTGCTAAGATGAAATTTACTCTCAGTGGCTGTGTAGTCATTGAATGTAAACTTGAAGACAATTAAAAAATTGTCAGACAGAACAGGATTTTGAGGATGTATTAATAAGTACTTAATCTCTATGACATATGTAGAACCAGGTCAAGAGTGTGATGATGATGATGAGTCGATGTGTGGACATTTTGGGTAAAACCAATTGACCATTAAATTTTTGAAGGCTATACTTAAGCTATCACTTTCAACATCTACCGTACATGAATATTGAAATCCCCCATTATTGACGTTATCAGTATTCAAT